GACAAGAGTTACATAAGAACCAAGACCAGGACCAGGACCAAGACCAAGACCAAGACCAAGACCAGGACCAGGACCAAGACCAAGACCAAGACCAAGACCAGACCAGGACCAGGACCAAGACCAAGACCAAGACCAGGACCAAGACCAGGACCAAGACCAGGACCAGGACCAAGACCAGGACCAAGACCAAGACCAAGACCAGGACCAAGACCAGGACCAAGACCAGGACCAGGACCAGGACCAGGACCAAGACCAGGACCAAGACCAAGACCAAGACCAAGACCAAGACCAGGACCAGGACCAAGACCAAGACCAGACCAGACCAGACCAGACCAAGACCAGGACCAAGACCAGGACCAGGACCAGGACCAAGACCAAGACCAGGACCAGGACCAGGACCAGACCAGACCAGACCAGACCAGGACCAGGACCAGGACCAGGACCAGGACCAAGACCAAGACCAAGACCAGGACCAAGACCAAGACCAAGGACCAGACCAGGACCAGGACCACCAGACCAAGACCAAGACCAGACCAGGACCAAGACCAGGACCAGGACCAGGACCACCAGACCAAGACCAGGACCAGGACCAGACCAAGACCAAGACCACCAGGACCAGACCAAGACCAAGGACCAAGACCAAGACCAAGACCAGACCAAGACCACCAGGACCAGGACCAGGACCAAGACCAGGACCAGACCAAGACCAGACCAAGACCAAGACCAGGACCAAGACCAGGACCAGACCAGACCAGGACCAGACCAAGACCAGGACCAAGACCAGGACCAAGACCAGGACCAGACCAAGACCAGGACCAAGACCAAGACCAAGACCAAGACCAAGACCAAGACCAAGACCAAGACCAAGACCAGGACCAAGACCAAGACCAGGACCAGGACCAAGACCAAGACCAAGACCAGGACCAGGACCAAGAGCATTTGTGGTGAACCGTTTGGATCACAGACTGTGTTTGATACAGAATAATCCCACTGAGAGATTATGGCTGATGTTCACATGTTCACATGTTCACATGTTCACATGTTCACATGTTCTGATGTTCACATGTTCACATGTTCTGTTCACATGTTCACATGTTCACATGTTCACATGTTCTGATGTTCACATGTTCTGATGTTCACATGTTCACTGATGTTCACATGTTCTGTTCACATGTTCACATGTTCTGATGTTCACATGTTCACATGTTCACATGTTCTGATGTTCACATGTTCACATGTTCACATGTTCACATGTTCTGATGTTCACATGTTCTGATGTTCACATGTTCACATGTTCACATGTTCACATGTTCTGATGTTCACATGTTCACATGTTCACATGTTCATGTTCACATGTTCACATGTTCTGATGTTCACATGTTCATGTTCAGATGTTCACATGTTCACATGTTCTGATGTTCACATGTTCACATGTTCACATGTTCTGATGTTCACATGTTCTGATGTTCACATGTTCAGATGTTCACATGTTCTCATGTTCACATGTTCACATGTTCACATGTTCACATGTTCACATGTTCACATGTTCACATGTTCACATGTTCACATGTTCACATGTTCACATGTTCACATGTTCACATGTTCTGATGTTCACATGTTCACATGTTCACATGTTCATGTTCACATGTTCACATGTTCACATGTTCACATGTTCTGATGTTCACATGTTCACATGTTCACATGTTCACATGATGTTCATGTTCTGATGTTCACATGATGTTCACATGTTCACATGTTCACATGTTCTGATGTTCACATGTTCATGTTCACATGTTCATGTTCACATGTTCATGTTCACATGTCTGATGTTCACATGTTCATGTTCATGTTCACATGTTCATGTTCATGTTCACATGTTCATGTTCACATGTTCACATGTTCTGATGTTCACATGTTCACATGTTCACATGTTCACATGTTCTGATGTTCACATGTTCACATGTTCTGATGTTCACATGTTCTGATGTTCACATGTTCACATGTTCACATGTTCACATGTTCACATGTTCTGATGTTCACATGTTCTGATGTTCACATGTTCACATGTTCACATGTTCATGTTCATGTTCATGTTCATGTTCATGTTCACATGTTCACATGTTCACATGTTCACATGTTCACATGTTCACATGTTCAGATGTTCACATGTTCACATGTTCACATGTTCACATGTTCAGATGTTCACATGTTCACATGTTCAGATGTTCACATGTTCACATGTTCACATGTTCTGATGTTCATGTTCACATGTTCACATGTTCTGATGTTCAGATGTTCACATGTTCACATGTTCTGATGTTCACATGTTCACATGTTCATGTTCACATGTTCACATGTTCATGTTCACATGTTCTGATGTTCTCATGTTCACATGTTCACATGTTCATGTTGATGTTCACATGTTCTGATGTTCACATGTTCTGATGTTCACATGTTCACATGTTCACATGTTCACATGTTCACATGTTCAGATGTTCACATGTTCTGGTCTTGGATCTGGAGACTCTGAGGCTGAAGTTACGTAAACGCGGCGTTTACGAGTTTATACATAAAAGATGTGGATGAATCTACAGAATCTATAAAACAAACGGGAAAGTTTGACTGAAGTTTGGCCAAAACCAAACACAGATTTTCACTTTTTGTTCTGAAAAATGACGTAAGTTTAAAGTGACTCCAAAAGGACAACAGACGACCTTTCACAATAAGAGCCAGATGACTTTTATTTTGAAGGAGTCTCGTGGATCTGAAGAAACCGACAAAATAAAAGTCTAAAACTTCACAATAAACCCCGGCCTGTGGAGTCAGCTCTGTGGAGCGGCGAAACCAGGACTAAACCAAGTCCAAAGCAGGACTAAAGCAGGACTAAAGCAGAACTAAACCAGGACTAAAGCAGGACTAAACCAGGACTAAAGCAGGACTAAACCAGGACTAAAGCAGGACTAAACCAGGACTAAAACCAGGACTAAACCAGGACTAAAAGCAGGACTAAAAACCAGGACTAAAGCAGGACTAAAGCAGGACTAAACCAGGCAGGACTAAAGCAGGAACTAAACCAGGACTAAAGCAGGACTAAACCAGGACTAAAGCAGGCAGGACTAAAGCAGACTAAACCAGGACTAAACCAGGACTAAACCAGGACTAAAGCAGGACTAAAGCAGGACTAAAGCAGGACTAAACCAGGACTAAAGCAGACTAAAGCAGGACTAAAGCAGGACTAAAGCAGGACTAAACCAGGACTAAAAGCAGGACTAAAGCAGGACTAAACCAGGAACTAAACCAGGACTAAAGCAGGACTAAAGCAGGACTAAAAGCAGGACTAAACCAGGACTAAAACCAGGACTAAAAGACCAGGACTAAACAGGGCAGGACTAAAGCAGGACTAAACCAGGACTAAAGCAGGGACTAAAGCAGGACTAAACCAGGAACTAAAGCAGGACAGGAACCAGGACTAAACCAGGACTAAACCAGGACTAAACCAGGACTAAAGCAGGACTAAAGCAGGACTAAACCAGGACTAAACCAGGACTAAAGCAGGACTAAAGCAGGACTGTGCCTCTCGCTGGTACCTGGACTGGGACATGTCAAACACGTGGTCCTGATCTGAGACTTAAACGTTTCCAGACGACGTTTAAAATTTTACGAAGTTAAAATCATCTCAAGTTACTTCAAAAGTCTGAAGAGCAAGAGAAGAAGAAGAGAGGAAACAAGGAGACGAGGAGACGAGGAGACGAGGAAGACGAGGAAACGAGGAGACGAGGAGACGAGGAGACGAGGAAACGAGGAAACGAGGAGACGAGGAGACGAGGAGACCAGGAGACCAGGAGACCAGGAAACGAGGAGACGAGGAGACAAGGAGACGAGGAGAGGAGACGAGGAGACAGGAGCAGGTGTTACCCAGGCCGGAGCGCGGGTTGAAGCCCGGGTTGCGCAGGGACAGTCGGGTTCTGTTGGTTCTGTCGGTTCTGTCGGTTCTGTCGGTTCTGTCGGTTCTGTCGTGAAGCGCTGAGACACAAACACAAACTTTAACTTCAGATTCAAACAAACAAAGAAAAAAAAAGATGTGAGAAAAACTCTGACCAGGACGAGGAGGGAAGAGAGAGCGCCCCCTGGGGTTCTGCAAACACACAACAACACAACACACATTAAAACAACACACAACACACACAACAACACAACAACACACACACACACAACACACACATTAAAACAACACACAACACACACAACACACAACACACATTAAAACACAACACAACAACACACAACACACACACACACACACACACAACACAACAACACACACACACAACACACACAACACACAACACACACAACACAACACACAACACACACATTAAACACACACAACACACACACACACACACACACAACACACACAACACACACACACACACAACACACACACACACACACACACACAACACACAACACACACAACAACACACACACACACACACACACACATTACACACAACACAACAACACAACACACACAACAACACACACACACACACACACACAACACACACACAAACACACACACACACACAACACACACATTACACACACAACACACAACACACACACAACACACAACACACACATTAAACAACAACAACAACACACAACACACACAACACACACATTAAAACAACAACACACACACACACACAACACACAACAACACACACATTACAACACACACACACACACACACACACACACACAACACACACAACAACACACAACACACACAACACACACAACACACACACACAACACACACACACACACACACACACAACACACACACACACAACAACAACACACAACACACACACACACACACAACACACAACAACACACACACACACACACACAACACACACACACACACACACATAAACACACACAACACAACAACAACACACACACACACACACAACAACACACAACAA